GGCCAGGTATGCCCGCCCGCAGCGGCGCCTTTGCCTTCGCGCGCTTGCCCAGGGGATCTAGGTGCCGACCCAGGGACAGCCCCAGGGACCTGCGGGGCACAGGTGGGCGGGTGGCCAGAGCCCTGCAAGGGAACCCCGGGAGTTTCCCCTCTCTGCGCCTCCCTGGAGGAAAGGGGAGCTGCTGTCCCGGAGGGTGGGGTGGGACTCAGAACCCAGGGGGTCCTGATTCCTCGCCTGGGGTAGGGGCACTCCAGGAGGAAAGGAGGGGATGGGATAGCAACAGTCAGGCTTGTTCTCTGAGCTCCCGCCGGCTGACCGGCGATAAACGCTCTGACACTCCCATCACCCTAAAACACAGATGCAGGTATTGCCCCACTTTGCAGATGAGCAACTGAGTCTCCCAGAGGCAAGAGGTGAAGGAGCTTGCCCGAGGCGAGATGCGGGAGAGATGGACGGAAGGGCAGTGGGGGACACGGGGGCTGGAGGAAGCCTTCACAGGCTGTGCTGAAAGGCCCCTTCAGTTTTGCTGTCCCTACCCTGGCTTACTGCCCTGGGCCTGGGAGTGGGAGCGCCCCCTGCTGTCCTGTGGTCAGCTCTGCACTGGGAAGCCTGCCACCCACTCCCTGACAGCTGCACCTGGGAGCAGCTGCCAGTCCCAGACCGCTTCTGCCCCTCCCTGCCAGGCCAGGAGTGTCTGTGGGTGTGGTACAGGCGTGAGGTTGCTGCAAGGTTATGGTCAAGAGTACAACCATTGTGGCCGGTGCTGTGGCGTAGCGGGTAAAGCCACTGCCTGCAGTGCAGACATCCCATACGGGCAACCAGTTCAAGTTCCGGCTGCTTCACTTCCAATCCAGCTCCCTGCTAATGCGTCTGGGAAGGCACCACAGGACAGCCCAAGTCCTTGGGTCCCTGCACCACGTGGGAGACCTGGAAGAAGCTCCTGGCACCTGGCCTCAAATCAGCCCAGCCTCAGCAGTTGTGGCTATTTGGAGAGTGAACCAGTGGATGGAAGACCTCTCTCTCTCTCTCTACCTCTCTGTAACTCTGCCTTTCAAATAAAATATTTACTTATTTTATTTGAATATTTACTTATAAGTAAAATATTTACTTATTTTATTTGAAAGGCAGAGTTACAGAGAGGCAGAGGCAGAGTTACAGAGAGAGAAAGAGGTCATCCATCCTCTGGTTCACTCCTCAAATGGCCGCAATGGCCACAGCTGGGCCAATCTGAAGCCAGGAGCCAGGAGCTTCTTCCGGGTCTCCCACATGGGTACAGGGGCCCAAGGTGGGCCATTTTCCACTGCTTTCCCAGGCCATAGCAGAGCATTGGACAGGAAGTGGAGTAGCCGGGACTTGAACTGGTTGCCCATATGGGATGTCTGCACTGCAGGCAGTGGCTTTACCCACTGGGCCCACTACGCCACAGTGCCAGCCCCTAAATAAATAAATCTTAAAAAAAAAAAAGTACAACCATCAGCATCAGACATCCTGGGTTTGAGTCCTGCTCTCCAAAACTGGCTGTGTCACATTGGCCAACCCCCTGGATGGCCCTGAGGCCCCTGGGGTCGGGGGAATAATGCTGCAGGTGAGAATTTGGTGACCCAGATTAGGGCTGATGCCATGCATGTTGCCCGGGAGCTCCCCTTCCCTCATGAGCTGTGTGTCTTCACGGAAGTACGGCCAAGACTGGGCATTCCCGGGGTGCTCAGGGCGTCCTGGACACTGCTCCAGGTACCTGGGCTCGCTCCTGCTGTGTTCAGGACAATCTAGTTCTCTCCTGTTTCCAGGTGAGCAGACAGAGGCACAGAGAGGCTGCCAGCATGCCACAGGTCACACAGCTAGAGGAGCTGAGACTGAGAGCCAGGCAGGCCAGCCCCTGAGCCCCTGCTCTCGGGCACCATGGGAGAGAGGCTACCTCTGGGCTGAGCCAGTCCTTCCCAGACCCCACACAGAAGGTACTGGAATCACCCCATGGACAGAGGAGGAGACAGAGGCCCAGAGGGACCCAGGATGGCAGAACTGGTTGTGGGGACATACTGGGATTCATGCCCAGGTCTGAAGGCCAGGCCTTCCCCTATACTTTCCCGTTTGCTTGAGGCCTGATTCCAAAGCCCTGAGCCCCAGCCTCCCTGGGCCAGCAGCCAGTGGCAGGATGTGCTTCCTCCCACAGGGCCTTGGCCTGGAAAGTCCAGCTGCCTCTCCCTGGAGGAAATAGCAGGGTTGTCCTTCCTGCTGGGAATAGGTTTGGTTTTTGAAAAGTTGTATTCATTTCACTTGAGAGAGCGAGAGAGCGAGCTCTCCCATGCACTGGTTCGCTCCCCAGATGCTCACAAAAGCAGAGACTAAACCAGGCCGAAGCCAGGAGCCAGGAACTCCATCTGGGTCTCCCATGCCAGTGGCAGGGACCCTAGTACTTGGACCATCACTGCTGCCACCCAGGGTCTGCATTAGCAGGAAGCTGGAATTTGGAGCGGAGCTGAGCCCTGAAGCCGGGCACTCTGAGATGGGATACAGCTGTGTTAACCACTTCACCAAGCCCCGCCTCCTGGGAACAGGGTTTGGCTGGGTTAGGGCCAGGACCCCACTGGGCACGGAGGGCTTCTTTGGAGGTAGCTTCTGTCAGAGCTCCTGGGCCCGCGTGGAGTAGCCGGGACAAGCCTCCGCCCTCCTGCCACGTGCTCTCCCCGGTCAGTGCAGGGCGTGCACGTCCCTGCAGCTCAGAGCTGGGGACCACTCTCCGCAGACCTGAGGCTGCAGGAGGCTGCCTTTGCATTCTGTTCGGGGTCTTCTGGGGTCCCAGCTGGGCTGGCAGCATACAAGATTCCAAGTGACTTTGCTGCCTGCCACTGTGGTGGCACAAGCATCTGTCCCAAGAAGGGGCCGCCGGGTCGTCCTGATGGCGTCCTGCAGCCTCACGGGAGGGCCTTGGTCTCCCAGCCCCTTGGGGAGCACTCCCGGGTGGGTGTGGCTCCTCCCTGAAGTCCACGCCCCAAGGCCTGCCTTCCCACCTTGGACTCAGGGACTAGTGTGCTCTTTCTGGGGGGACTCGGAGCTGGCCCCTCCCCTCCCAGTGCCTGGGAGTCAGACCCTTGCTCTGGGCCCTGTGGGAGGAAGAGAGAGAGGTCTAAGAAGGCCCAGTTGGAAGGAACCCGGCCCAGAAGACGGTGCCTTCCCCTGCACTCATCCAGACCTGAAACGCACCCCACAGCTGAGCTCCACCCCAGTGCTCGCCTCCTGGCTGCTTCAACCCAGGCCAGGCCCCTTCACCGGCTCCATAATGCGGACCCCGCCTCCCATCCTGGCCTTGTCTCCCACCCTTTTCTCTCTGCTCTCAGCGCCTCCCTGGATGTTTCTTGAATCTGCCATGATTCCTCCTGCCCCAGGGACTTGGCACATGCTGTGTGTCCCCCGTCGTACCTGGCCAAGGCGACAGGAGAGATTTTCTGCACACACCGGAGACAGAGGAGCCGGCATCGCCCGAGGCTGAGCGGGTGGGAAGATCGTGTTATGCCACAGCTCATATGTGGGAAATGAGACGCAATGGGCGTGTAACAGGGAGGCTGGTGACGGGCTCCTGATGGTTTCTCTTCCATGTTAAGGTCTGACCGGCTTCTGTAGAGGCTCCATCTCCCCTTCAGCCGGAAGCCTCACCTCTGCGAGCGCCCCCACCCTCCCCTCTGACCCGGGCACTGAAGCTATCTTCAGCCTCCTCCACTTCCTGCCCAGCACCAGAACCACACGCGGAGAGCGAGTGACAGCTCACATCAGAAGCTTGTCAGATCAGCAGAGGGACTCGGGTGGCGGGTGGGCAAAGGGCTGAAAGTCGGGTGATGGGGAGAGGGGAGAGAGAGGGTCTGAGTGGTTCCGTCTGCTGACCTAAGGGATGGCCACTCCACGCCACCAGCATCGAGGACCCAGCCCCTGGGCCTCTGAGCAGAGAGCTCAGAGACAGCACACGTTATCTGGGGGGGCTGATCATGGAGTGTGATGACGGAGCCAGGTACCCAGTGCGTGGATGCGTGCCTGCCCCATGTTTCCGAACCCAAGCTGCCGCTCCCTCTGGCCCCACCCTGTCCGTGTGTCCACTTGGCCAACTCCTGTGCAGCCTTCCACATGCACTATCACCCCCTCCTGCACTGCCCACCCATCCCTCCCTGGACCCCAAACCGATGGTGAGCTCCCCTGGGGTGGGATCCTGCTGTCCATCAAGGTCCCTCCCCAGTCGAAGTGGGAACACTGTATCCGAGCCCACTGGAGTGGGCAGGAGTGGGAGGGGGAGGTAGGCTGGCGTGGTCCCGATAACACCTCTGGGAGGTCCCTGCAGTGCACTGGGCCTGAATCCTGCCCCAGCATCCCAGCCTGGCCCACAGCCTCCCGCTCAGCCATCCTGTGATCCCAGGCATGTCCCCTTTTCCAGCTTGCTCCGGGGTTGGCTTTTGCTACTGGCTCCTGAGGCCCCTGATGGGGTCATTTTGTGTCCTGGTCACCTGGCAGCCTGCCAGCTACCCTGTTGCACCGTAGTCCCACCAAGCTCAGCGCCGCGAGTGATGAGCATAGGCGGAAGCAGTGTGAACTTGGAAGGGACCAAGTGTGTGCGTGAGTGGTTGTCACAGAGTTCCGGAGGAGCTGGCATCCCTCCCAGCCTCGGAGGGCGGGAGAGGCTCTGCAGGGCTGGGGGCAGGGGCACCTGTTGGCTAAGGGGCTGTTCAGACGGGACAGAAGCTTCTGGGTTATGGCAGAGGAGTCAGGAAGGCATCGAGGGGCCCAAGTCGGGAGTACCTTGAAGCCCGCAGTGAGAGGTTTGGATTTCATCCTCCAGGCACTGGAGAGCTCAAGGGGTTGGGAGCAGCTGCCTTGGAAGGGCTGAGAGAGGGTAGCCATCCTGGGCTGGCCTTGTGACACTGGTTCAGCAAAGGTGCAGGTCCCTTCCCTGCCTCCCTTCCCAGTCTCCCCGCCATGAAAAAGTATCCCTTCCCCTCCCCCAGCTCTTGGACACAGCATTTTTAAAAATTTATCTTGTAATCCCATTTTCTCCTGTTTTTGAGATATTCGTTTACTTGAGAGGCAGAGAGAGACAGCCAGAGAGATTTAGCTGCCACTCACTGGGCAGGCTAAAGCCAGGAGCCAGGAGCTCAGTCTGGGTCTCCGATGTGGCTGGCGGGAACCAGCACGGCTGCTCCCCAGGGTGCACGTTAGCAGGCAGCTGGGATCCGGAGCACCCTAGACGCAGGTGTCCTGACCAGCGGCTTAGCCGCTCAGCCAGATGCCTGCCCAGGGTATGCTGCTTTCACGCTAGTGGTCTTCAGGACAGAAGGAGTTGGGAGCCATCGCCCGTTCCCCCACCCACTCCCTGACCTCCACCCTGATGGGCGGAGACGTCAGCGTGTCTTGTGTCTCCGGTTCCCTCCTAGCTCAGGCTCTGCAGGAAATCCACCAGCAGGTGCTTGGGAAAACCGAAGTCCATCTGCAGCAGCAGGCAGCCCTAGGTCAAGGGCGAGAAGGGCAGGCTGGGCCGGCTGCCAGTCTGCCAGTCTCACGGGGACAGGGGCTGCCCTCCCGGGAGACGGGGCCGACAGGGGGCTTTCCACTCACATCGAGAGTGATAATCTCAGGGTTGATGATTTCGAAGAGGTCCAGGCCTTTGCTGTTCATGAGGGCTGTGAACGCCACCTCGAGCCCTGGGGTAGGCGAGGGAGCCCCCGTCAGCCTTGCCCCCAGGCCCGAGGTGCCCGTTGGTGGGTGGGGAGGGTGGAGATGGTGGGCCATCATTCCCTAAATATTTCTTTCACTTTGATTTAGGAGAGGATGAGGCATGGCGAACAGGAGAGGTCACCTGGGGGCAGGACCTGCCACTCTGGCTCCAAGAAACTCTGTCCGCAGACTGACACCCTCTCAAGCAGTGGCCACTCGCCCTGAGTTGGCTGAATCTGCCCAATAGGAGGGGAACGCGGTGGGCAGCTGGCGCTCCCTGGGCAGGCCTTTGTCAAAGTGCTCTCTGACCACGCAGAGCGGCCTCTCAGCACGGCGTTCTAGAAACACAGCTGAGCCCACCCCCGCAGTCTCAGCTCCGCAGTGCAGTTGCGGAAGCCCGAGGCCCCACAGTGGCCAAGACCCCCAGCCAGGCTACCTCCCGTCTCCACCCCTCTCCTCCCTCCCGAAGCCACCCAAAGGGAGGACACGGCCGGATCAGTGGACGTGGTGGGGAAGGGGGCCAAAGGCTCACCCCGGATACAGCGTCTCCCTACACGGACAGATGTCCGACAGCGTCAGGGTCTAAAGGGATTTGGGGATTGTCAAGTCCAATGCTCTCAGTTTAAAGAAAGGGAAGCTGAGGCCACATCCAGGGCTCCGCTGGCCACTCTTTTGGCCACCTTAGGGTGCCCTCAGGGGGTGCCCACCGGGAAGTGGCTTAGCCAGCCCGAGGGCACACACTGCCACCAGCAGGGTCTCGCACTTACTGCTCTGCCTGGCAGGGGCCTCTGAGGTGGAGTGAGAGCCCTGTGCCACCCGCCATCAGGCCCGGCGCCTCTGCCTTCCCCTCCAGCCCACACTTACGAGACATGACCTCCGGGATGCCCACCGTGGTGATCAGGGAGCGGAGAGAGCTCTGCAGGGACTCGGAGCGGCTCTGCCGATCAGAGGCCCACGGTGAGTGCTCCCAGGAGCACAGACAGGACCCACGGCATGGTTGGCCGCAGAGCCTGGGTGCGCGAGCGCTCCACATCCCTCCCCTTCCCCGGCCTCCTGCACCGGTGGAGGCTAGGATCCATGGAGGGGAAACCGGTCCAGGGCGGGACCACCTGGCCAGGACTCTCTGCCCCTAACCCCAGCCTGCACCACCACCCTCCCAGGGCTGCAATTCAGGCTTTCTCCCAACAAGCACCGCGGGAAGAAGGCTCATGAGAGACCCAGCGGGGAGCTTCTGGCCTAACTCCTTGTGCTCCAGGTGCCTGATTTCCCTAGGGCCCTCTGCGTTCTGTAAGGTGCCAGGTGCCTCAGCACTCACCCACCACCCCAGGCCACCTACCTCAGTCAGGTTGGAAACAGCCTTAGCCTCAGTCCTAAAATGAGTAAGGGGTGAGAATGTGGGGCTATGTTGGGCTCCAGAAAAGAACCTCTAGGGGTGATTCCCAAGGCTTCTGAAATTTAGCTCCTGTGGCAAAGAGCTGTCACTCCCAGGTCCCAGCTCAGGCGGCCCCTCCCATCTGCCCGGCCTGCCCCCACCCCATTCTTCATGGTGCCCCTTCCTCGTAATCAAGACTCTGGGGAGGGGCTTTGTCCCCCAATAGTTGGTCTGTGAGTCCTGGCGGGAAGGAGGCACACTTCCCCACAAAGCCCAGGCCCCAGCCTGACACCTGAGGGCCACGGAGAGATTTGCTGAGCTGCCCGCCCTTCCGCTGGCCGGCACGCACTGGAAATCCAAGAGGTGTAGGAAGAGCTTTTTCTGGGAGTAGGAGGCCTGGACGGTGGTGATGATATCCTGGGGAGAGAAACCAGGGTCACCGTGAGAGGGGCCCGCCCAAAGCAGACGGCGACCCCCAAGCCTGCCCACCCCACTCCCTGGGGCTCCAGATGGTGCAGGAGCAGCCCGGGGCCTGGAATCTCCAGGCAAGACTGGCGGTCTCCTGCAAAAGGAGGGCAGTCCCCCAGCACCCGTGGCTCTGGGTTAGCGTCTATGAGGCCACGGGGACACTTCCTCTCCTGGTTTCTGATTTATCCACACTCCCAGTCACTTCTTCCTGTTTGTTCAAAACCAAGTGTGGTCCAGGACTTCCCTGCATGGCTCACTTCCTCCACCTCCACAAGGAAGCCCGACTCCAGCAGGCTCTGCTGGAAGCTGGCTTGGTCTGCCCTTTCACACTCTAGAGGTCAAGTGCACGAGATGGACTCCAAGGGCAGCACAGCATCAGCACCACGAGGGAGGGAATGCGCTGGAAATGCAGATTCTCGGGCCCAAGGACATCCACCATCTGTGCTTTATTGACCCCCCTCCAGGTGGGTCTGACGTGCACCCCTACTTGAGACCCCCTGCACTAGAAACCTTTCAGACAGCCTCTTGATGCTGAGTTACAGTTTGCTGAGGCACCCTCCCTGACCACCCATTTTTCTTTCATAGGACCAGGCAAAATTAGAGGTTATATTGTTTTTTTGTTTGGCTAGTTAGTTATTGTTATCTCTGGCCATTTTACTATAAGGTTCATGGTATCAGAAACCATATGGGCTTGGTTCAGACTAGGAACTCAGTAGATATTGTTGAATGAATGGGGCCGGTGGTAGGATGCAGCGGGTTAAGATATCGCTTGCAAAGCCAGCATCACTTATGAGCACTGGTTTGAGTTCCAGCTGTACCTAGGAAGGCAGCAGAAAAATGGCCTATGTGATTGGACCCTGCCACCTATGGGGGAGACCCAGATGGAGTTCCAGGCTCCTGGCTTCTGCCAGCCCCAGCCCCAGCCGCTGTGACCATTTGGGCTGTGACCCAGTGAATGGAAGACTCCCCCCACCCCCCTCTCCCTCTCTCTCTCCCTCTGTGTCTCCTCTTTCTCTGTAACTCTGCCTTTCAAATAAATAAATAAATCTTAAAAAACAAACAAAAGACAATGAACGAATGAGCACAGGTGTACGATGAGACGTGTGACCTGGATCAGATGTCCCAGTGGCTCCAGGCCTGCAGTCCCTCTGTACAGTGAAGGGGTGGGGCCAGCTGATCTCTGAGGGCCACTCCCACTCTGCCATATTTGTCGGGCTCAGCTGGACATGTCCCCAACCCAGCGACCCTGCCACATTGTCTCCTCTCGCTCTGTACTTCAAAGCCTTGTGCACCTGCTACTGCTTCCTTCTGGCTGCTTGGTCCCCACGGCCTGCCCTACCCTGTCACAGCCCCAGGCAGCTCTCTCCCCCAGCCGCCCTGCTTCACTCTCCCTGCTGCCAGACCACACCTGCCCATGGCTCAACACGTAGGGACCTGGCTGGATTCACAGGCAGGAAGGGAAGTCTTCAGCAGCCCAGCAGCCGGGGCGTGGAGGACTTGGCCTGCTGGGAGGGGCCTGCTGGGGAGGGCCCAGACGTCCTTGCTTTGATCAGACTCCGGAACCTTCTCCTAAGACCACCTGTGAGAACCCTGAGAAAGCGCTTCTGCAAGCATGCCTTCTCACCTGCCCTGCCCCCACTCCCCGGTGTCTGATTGGGTGCCTCAGTCTCCACTGCCATGAATCCTGCTAGGTCTGCATGGCCAGACTGCCCCCAACCCCTTCCTCTCGGTAATCTTCGACACCTTGGCTCCTGCCTGGCTCCTTTGCTACAAATTCCCACCTGCCCAGGCTGTGTTCAGAGGGGAGTCCTGTCTCTATCCCACAGGCCAGACTCCACGGCAGGGGTCCCCAGACCTCTTGGGATGGCCCCGCCTAAATACAGCCTGACTCTGTGAATGGAATCTTTTTCTTCCTTAAACAAAACCTCCGAACTTTGCAGAGTCTTAAATAACAATGAAAAACTCAGTAAATAAAACAATACAAAATTGTTAGGAATTTTTTCTTATAAAAAAGCTACAGTTATGAACAGTGGAGCGTGGTTCCAAGAGATGCTGACAACCAGGGAAGCTGGATGATAGGTGGATGGAAGCTCTGTTACCTTCACAACTTTTATTCAATCTAAAATTATTCTAGGCATTGTGGTGCAGCAAGTTAAGCCGCTGCCTGGGAGGCTGGCATCCCATATCGGCCGAGCACCAGTTTGAATCCCGACTGCTCCACTTCCAATCTGGCTCCCTGCTAATATACCCAGGAAAGCAGTAGAGCATGGCCCAAGTGCTTGGGCCCCCACACCCACATGGGAGACCCGGATGGAGTTCCTGGCTCCTGGCTTCAGCTTGGCCCAGCCCTGGCCATAGTGGCCATTTGGGGAGTGAACCAGTGGCTGGAAGACCTCTGTCCCTTCTCTCTCCCTTTCAAATAAACAAACCTTTAAAAGAAAGAAAGAAAGAAAGAAAGAAAGAAAGAAAGAAAGAAAGAAAGAAAGAAAGAAAGAAAGAAAGAAAGGAAGGAAGGAAGGAAGGAAGGAAGGAAGGAAGGAAGGAAGGAAGGAAGGAAGGAAGGAAGGAAGGAAGGAAGGAAGAAACTAAAGTAGGAAACGAAACGTTGCCGAATCTGTTGGAACCCTGTGTGTCCTCCACATCGTTTGCATTGTGTGACTTTGTAGGAACAAGCAGTCGCAGCAGGGGTGGCAAGACACGTGGAAGGTTCCAGAACCCCCCCCAACCATCCCCCCCCCACCCGGCACCCGCCTCACCTCCTCAAACCTGTAGGCCACGGCTTCTCGGCCATCTGGGCCGGGGAAGCGGAACGTCACAGCGACGGAAGAAGACACCACGACACCCCGGTTCTGGCAGGAGATCTTGGGCACCTTAAGGCAGTGGACGGCTACCTGGGCCTGGCCGGTGGGAAGGCCTCTGGAAAGCTGAGGCACACAGAGGTCCCGTGTGGGGACAGGGCCCATCAGAACCAGTGCAGCCCCTGCCCTCAGAGATGGGAGGGCAAAGCTGACCCCAGTCCCGGCACTGGGGAAAGAGGAAGTGGTCTGGGGCAGGGGCAGGGGCTCAGGCCCGAGACCAGGCTCTGCTCATCCCTTATTTGCCGGTGACTTCCCAGATGGGGGCTCTGGCCTGTCTGGCCCTTCTCCTAGCCGGGGTGCCTCACCTTGTCCATCTGTAAAGTGGGGACAATGACAGGACCTGCCTCCAGGGTGATGAGGCTCAAGGAGATAATCCAAGGGCTTAGAACAGGAGCCTCCGGAAGGTGTCGCTGTTGCCTTTACTTAACAACAGACCTGGAGTGCTGACTCAGTCTTACCCCCGGGCTGGGAGGTGCAGAGTATGCATGGTCTCCACCTACAGTCCTTGTTGGAGGATGCTGGGATTAAACGTGAAGTTTCAGCCAAGGAGAGAGACCCCAGCTAGGGGACAAGAGCCCTGGAGGGGGGATCTGCCTCCTCCGGGAGATGGGGAAGCCGTCCCTGAGGAATCCAATGGGAAAGCGGGGAGGATGACCCCTGCTGGCCGGAGGGAGCTGCGCGGCAAAGACTGGGTGGAAGGAGCATGCCCAGTGCAGGGTGGCCAGTGTGCTGGGGCGTGCTGGTCTACCTCCTGTGGACAGCGTCCAGTACTGGACTCAAGGAGACCTCTTGGCAATAAATCAGTGATCCAACAGGGGTGCGACTGGATACACATCTGAGCTCTAAAGGATGAAAGGGAATCCTGGAGAGGAGGGTGCGCTGGCAGCCAAGACTGGAGCCGATGTGTCTCAGAGACGCAGAGTGTGGGCTGTGGCTCCACTGGGTGGGAAGTGGGTACCTCCCTCGGGAAGGCATCTGAGGTAGGGACTGTGTATTCCCCACGGAACCTTGAATCGAGGGCATCATGGACATCATCGCCAGTGGGCAGAGCAGGCAGAGGCCACGACCCGCAGGAGCCTGCCTGAGGTGGGCGCTGGCATCAGGGCTTATCTGTGGTCACCTCCTGTGGCTGGGGACATTGAGGTTCCAGCCCCCACAAGGCCCTATGGCCCGAGGGATGGAGCAGGGACATGGAACACAGCCCATCATTCCCTCCGTGTCCCTGTGTGTAAAATGGGGATCATGAGGGCGCCCCGCTCAGAGGGCTGTGAGCACTGAATGAAGGGGCACACGCGGCCCTTGGCTCAGAGCCTTGCAGGGGCTCAGGGGAGCTGCTGCCCACGTCACTGCTGGGGCTGGCGGGGGCGCGGGGGAGGGGAGGGTGCTCTGAGAGCAAGGGGCAGACCCCAGGCGAGCAGAGAGCAGTTACCTCCTGGAAGATTTCCTGGTTGGTGTCGAAACCCTGGGTCTCCAGCACTTTCTAAAGACAGAGAGGGGGTAGAAGTGGGTGGGAAAGTCAATCTCCTAACCCTAACCCTAACCCTAACCCTAACCCTAACCCTAACCCTAACCCTAACCCTAACCCTAAGGAGACTCTAGCGACAGAGTGTGGACAGAGTGTGCAACCAGACCCCTCCCCAAGCCCAACCCTCAGGCCCTAGAGGAGATCGGAGATGCTCCAGCCAGGGTGTGGAGCAGAGACCCCCTGGCCTGGCTGAAGCCTTGGCTTCCGATCCCTGCTCACATAGACTGCATGGCCTTGGCCAGGCCTCTAGGGGCCTTTAGTTTCCCTGCTGTTCAAACTAAGGTATGAACTGAGAACCACCGAACCTGCTTTAGTTCAGCAGAAGGGGCCGAGTGAGGCATTGGCACCGCCTCTTACAAGCTGTGTGATCTTGGGTATGTTACCTTCCCTCTCTGAGCTTGGCGGGTGCTGGGTCTGTATCTACCACTGTCTGTCCATCCACCCAGCTACCTGCCTGTCTCACACCCACTACACAGCAGGCCCCAGTAAGGGCTGGACTAGGGCTCCTCTGTCCCCACCCAGAGGGCCTCCCTCCCACCCACACGTGTGCACCCAAGTTCCCTAGCAGTGCCACCCCGCCCCCTTACCTTGAACTCATCCCCTGTCAGGCTGAGCACGAGACGGCCCTCCTGGAAGGCGGCCCTGGCCAGGGAGTTGAGCACTTGGTCGGAGAACCAGAAGTAGAGCATGCGGGAGTCCCCCAGAAGACCGGGCGGGAAGGCGCGGAGGGGGAAGGCCTCAGAGACGTTCTTGTGCGTGAAGTGACCCTGGAGAAAGCCAGGAGACTGCCTGGGCCCCGCGCCTCGCCCTCCGCACGGCCCCGCGGGAGGAGCCTTCCAAAGAGCGTCTGGCCTGAGGCACAGCTGGGGAAGTTGAGGCAGGTTTCTCCCGGCTGGGCTGTCATTCACCCAATGCACACTGCCCAAGCGTGTGACGTGTCCCAGGCAGTGTGCAAGGTGACCCAGGCAGATGCGGGGTCTATATTCCCGAGCTATATTCCCGAGGGACATCAATGAGGAGTTGGGGACCACGGCCCTTGCGCTCCCTGCCCCCCCCCCCGCCCGGCTGGGAGGAGACAGCCCACGACCACACAGCCCAGGCAGCTGGAGCCACTGTCCGGTTCCCAGCCTTCCTCCACCACCCAACCTGGGGGCTGTGATGGGGCTTCACCAGGACAGGGGCCTTCTGTTCACTTTTCTGAGGAAACTCCACCCCAGAGACGGCTGGCTGTCCCCCACATCCCATCCCCTCTCTCTCAGTTCTGCAACACCCAACTTGTAGCAGGGCTGTGGCCACCTGGAATACATTTCTCTGCTTCCCTTGCAGCTAGGCATGACCACATGACCGGGTTCAGGCCAATGGGATGGGAGCAGAGTGGGTGGGGCAGTCCGCTCAGCCATCTCGGCCCATGTGTGTGGTGGGGAAGGCCACGGTTGGGGGTGATGGCTGAACAACGCAAGGGAAGGAGCCTGCACAGCCCACGCCACGGGGGCGCCGACTCCATCCGGGACTGCATACGCTCGGACCCCTGTACAAGGGAAGCAAGCGCCCATCTTGGCAAAGCTGCTGGAGTTCTGAGTCTCCTTACAGCCTCAGGAAGAGGGGGCCACTGTGTTCATCCGATCCTGCAGGGGGGCCGCAATGCCCCCAACCACTGCTGTGCAGGATCATGGGCGCCACGCAGTCCTCTAGGCGAGAGCGCCCCCTGCAGGGCCCTCAGAGTGAGCACCCTGGTGCCTGCTCAGAGGCTCGGACACACCAGCTGCAGGCTGTGCTACCTTCCTTGTCCCAGCAGGAAACGCCCTGCAGAGCTGTGACAACGGGACGCTGGGCTTCACTGGGGTTGGGGATGGGGGCTGCTATCCAGGGCATGGGTAGGGACCTGGCCCGAGGAACACCCAGGGAGGGGAGCCCCCACCCCACTCCCCACTCTCACCTTGTGATGGGACTCCAGGTAGGTGGCTGTGATGACAGGGGCCCCCGTCACGGAAATGTCCACCCCGATGTCTCCATCTGAGAGGATGCTGGCTGCCGGGAGTGGGGGGACAGGGGCGTGGTCAGGATCAAGATGGAACATCAGAGGGAGAGCTGCCCTGAGGCTGCAGCCCCCTCACCCCCCCCAGGTGCCCCCGCCTCCAGTCCCAGTGCTCCCTGGACTTCTGCCTGGCTGACCCCGCCTCCCGGGAGCTCTTCAGCAAGACTGGTTCACAGTGGGCCGCTGCCCCAGTTCTGCCCCCTAGTGTCAGGGGACGGGACAGCAGCCTGTCCTCACCTCCAGCAACAGCTTGGATCTCAGGGCCCTGTGAGTATTTGACGGGATTATTTCAGTAAAGGTGGGTGAGCCTCCACCATGGTGCTATAGTGACTAGCTGTATCGTGCTGTGTCTTTCTTCCTAACCTTCTCCCAGGAGAGACACGAGTCCCCCTGCACTGGATCGGTCTGTCCTGGAGTTCATGGCTCCACCAGGGGTCAGGAAACTTTCTGTCTAGAGGACTGGGTAAGAAATAGTCCAGGATTGGCCCTGTTGCAACACCAAAGTGGCCCCAGACACTGTGTTTGTGAGTGGAATGTGGCTGTGTTCCAATAAAGCTTTATTGACAAAAGCATGGCCTCTGCCCACGGACAGCGGTCTTCCGCACGAGGGAAGGAGTGAGGCTGGAGGGGTTGGGCCTCGCTCCCTGCCTCCTCCCTCGGGCCTGCGTCAGGAGCCACGTCCTCATGTTCTCATCCTCGGTGAAACTCCCTGCCCACCCAGCCCCTCCTGAATTCCTGGGCGGCTTGGGCGGTTCCTTCTCCTCCCATCAGCATCCCACTGACAGCAGCACAGCCCTGAAGCCCCTGCACCACGTGCGCCCTGGGGGTGGGCGGGGTTCCCACTCCCCTCGGGCCAACACACTGTGCCCCTCGCCTGCATCTTGGACAGGAGCAGGAGCCCGGGAGGCCCTACTGCTGCCTGCAGTCTCCCCTCCTAACGCCCCCAGAGAGCCCGTTTCCCCATTCTCGCACTGTCCCTGGTCACTGAGCACCTACCGTGTGCCAGGGAGTAACCAGCCAGGCACACACTCCCGCCTGACCGCCTCCCTTGCCACCGGCCACGGGCACAGCAGCCACGTGACAGTGCTGCACTGTGGCTGGAGCCGTGGCTTGGGAGCCATCGTGGGTTCAGGTTCAAGCTCAGCTCCTCCACTTCCTGGCTGGGGGGGCGGCCCCTCTCCTCCATCGATTAGTTTCTTTATTCTGAAGGGGGCAGTGCAAGGAGCCCATGGCTGAGGGAAACCTAGGATTTGGGAGGTGGGGACTCCAGCGAATGACGGCTGTCACTATTGCCATTACCATCAGGACCAGACACCACCTTCTCCTCCATGGATCCAGGGCCGTGCCCATTGCACAGATGACAAAACCGAGTCCTGAGGGAGTTTCTTCTGCACGAGAGTCCCCCTTAACCCAAGACCTCACGGGAAAGGGGGGAAGAGACTCTGGCTGGGTAGGGAGCTGCTTTCCTCCACCCGTGTTCACTGTTCGTTCACATGCAAAGGATGCCCTGCTCGGTGCCAGCAGCGTGGGGTGGCCGTGACACCGTCATGAAGGCTGACGCTCTCCAGCATTTTATGGAACTTTTTTGCACTCTATTCTCACAGCCACCCTGTAGGGTGGTGGCCATTATCACTCCTGCCGTATCCTGACCACAGCTAATTACCAGTAGGAGGAGTGACAGTCCCAAGGCCACACAGGACCGCCCGGACTTTCTGGCGCCCCCTCCTGGCCGTCCAGTGCCCGTAGACGCATGCGCACTCACCGGCCCTCGTCTGGACAAAGTCGGCCATGATGTTGGAGATGGTGTTGATCTCTTTGCAGACCTGGGGTGGACAGGGCAGGTGACTCAACGGGCAGGAGAGGGGACAGAGGAGGGACAGGGTGGCACCTCCCTCCAGCTGCAGGGAGGTGGCAGCGCTGGGAGTGGGCACAGCGGGCTGGCCACACTGGGAAGGTGGGAGGTGGTGTTTTCCCAGGGAGGGGCGTGGGGGGCCTTCTGGGCGTGAGCCTGGGCCACAGGGGGCGCAGCCAGCCTCACTCACCTGTCGCTTCAGAATCAGCTTCAGGGTGAAGGAGATGAAGTTTGTGAAGAGCTGCTTGAGCCACCCCGGCCTGCGGGAGTGAGCAGGACCGTGAGCTCCGCCCAGGCGCTGCTCCGGGCTCTGCTGGCCTCGGACTCCGCTCGTCAGGAGGTAGCAGTGATTATCCCCATTTCACAGCTGAGAACACTGAGGCTCAGAGGAAGCCTCAGACCCCGAGCATCCACCATGTTGCCAACTGACATTTCCCTGGGAGGACCCAGTCCCTATTTCACAGTCACCCTGTGGGGTAGGTGCTGTTGTCACCCGCACTTTACCGATGAGCAAACTAAGCTCCCGAGGGGTTAAGCCGCAGCCCCACAAGCATGCACACGGACAGGCCTGGAGTCCAGTTCCACCCCTGTCTGTTCCAGGGGCAGAAAGAGGCCTCCTCCCCAGCCCCCACCCACAGGGCCCTCCTGCACTCCAGGGTTGCCATTGGCTGTTGGACCACTTGGGTGTCTCCCCTAGCCTCAGTATGCTTCCCCGAGCAATGGGGCTATTCACCACGCCTTGACACAGGGGGTTGACCAAGACAAGAGCCTCATCCTGGGAAGCCGGCGGGGAGTGGGTGCAGGAGCGGGGGTCCCGGGGCAGAGGATGCTGGGTTCAGACCCTGCTCCCACTTCACTGGCAAACTGTGTGTCCTCAGTAAGTTGCTTTGCTTGACGGGAGTTTGAGCTATGAGCGTGTGGCCTGGGATCCAGGATACACTCAGCAGAAACAGGTTTTCCTTTCCTGCCTCAGTTTACCCACATGTGAAAATGGGCACAATGATAGAATCTACATGCTTGGGCTGGAACCTGGAGTGGTGCTTGGTGCCTAGTCTGTGCTCAGTAACTGTCAGTGATGATCAGGAGGGTGTATCGAGGGGGAGGGGACGGTAATGACCCCGCCCAGGGTATTGCTCCCCCCTGCAGGGGCCGAGGACCCCGGCAGGAGGGGCTCGGGCAGCAGCGGGGCCCCAGCGGCTGTGTACTCACTCGCGCTCCCCCTGGAGGTGCAGGAGCAGTTTGTGGAAAGCCAGGTAGCAGTCGGGGGCATTGGTGCGCACACGGCCAGCGTCGCAGGCTGCGGAGAGACCGTGACAGTGTGTCGGTGCAGCCTTGGCTCCCGGCTGGTACCCAGGGCTGCCCGGGCCAGCCAGGAGCTGGACCAGCCCTGGGCTTCCCCCTGCTCTGTAGGCCTGCCGGGCCAGACCCCCGGTGGCCTCCGAGCCCTCCCTCTGCCCAAGCCTGCCTCTCTGCTGAGGCCAACCCCAGAAGCCCCGAGGACACTGGGCACACACTCAGCTCTGTGTTGATCTGGAGGTCAATGGCAGAGTCGATCTCGAAGTCGACAGACTGATCGATGCCCAACCTGCGAAAGGGAAACCAAGGCCCTGGTCGTGCCGTCTGGTGCGGGGCAGCCCGGGCGTGGGGTGCCAGCGGGCGGCAGCGCTTACCCCCAGGCACTCGTGTAGCTGTAGTTCAGGGTCCCCTTGAAGACCACGGACACGTTCTGGATGGCGACGTCGATGGTCTTGGCGTCCACCAGCTCCACCTGGCTGCTGGCGATGGACAGGTGGCTGATCTGGAGGCTGAGGGAACAAGTGGACGGCGGCGGGGCCTCAGCAGCCTGCGGAGGGGCACACACCTGCTACCCAACCTGCACTGCGCAGGGTCTGCCCCGGGATCCGAGTCTAGACAGAGAGAGGCGCCCTCACCAAAGCGGCTCAGCCAGGAAGTCCAAGGAGCAGGACCCCACCTCTGCCTAGGGAACAGGACAGGGTGTGGGGGACGGAATAAGCACCCCCATGCTCACCCTCCAATCTCAGAACCTGCAAGCATGCACCTGACGGTGTGCGGGGTGCTGGCGGTGCGGGGCCAGGGTGGAGAGGACCCCGGGGGAGGGGACCAGGGAAGAGCAGCCAGAGCGACAGCCTTGTAGGCCTTGAAGGTGAGGAAGGGGGCCACAGTCCAAGGCCTGTGGGTGCCTCTGGAAGCTTGGAAAGGTGAGGAGAGGAAGTGGGTTCCCCTTGGGAGCTTCCAGAAGGCACACACCTTGCCATGAGCCTGGCGAGACCTGTGTTGGATTCTTAACCTTTCAAAACCTAAGGTCATAAACCTGTGTTGTTTAAAGCCATTAAAGTCATGCTCATTTGTTAGGGTAGCAAACAGGAAACCAAGACAAGAGGGCTTCCCCGAGGAGGTGACACAGGGTGGCGGGGAGTTCCGAAGACAGTCGCTTGGCTCAGAAGTGGCCTCAACAGGGCCCAGGAGAGCCTTGAACACAAAGAGGAGCGCCAGGCCTGCTGTCAGGAAGGACCTGGGGTCGGGGGGAACTGCAGGTGCTTGGCCAGAGGTGGGCCTTGCAAGGAGCCCCAGGCAGGCAGGCCCAGAAGGCAGGGCTGGGGGGAGGGAGGCCAGTGGGATACAGTCAGACTCTCCGGCCCGCCACCACACTAGCCAGCAGGGACCTGGCTTGAGAGCGTAGACTATGAGACAACAAGAGCTGCTACGCTGTGCCGAGCTTGCACTGAGTGGCAGGCACTGTGCACAGGGTGTACCTCTCAGCCACCTCTGAGGTGGCCGCCACAGCTGGGCCACCCGAGCAGAGGTTGGTGGCTTCCAAGGGCCTGTGTGAAGCTGGGATTTGACTCTGGACCCGTCCTACCCCCGATCCCCCATCATAAGCTGTTGGACATGCTGGGCTCAGCAACAAGGCTCCAGGCAGACCTCGTGCCGCCCTCTCTCTGTTCAGTTCCGCTCCAGACCTTGTAGAGAGAATAGCTTTGTACCCATTCTCATTGCGCCCATCTGCATCTTCAGCAGCACGCTGAAGCTCACGCTGGAGCTCTCTGCCCCACCCTGCTCCTGCAGGGTCTCCAGTCATCCAGCTGGAGTCCCCTAATCTGAAAAACCCCAAATCCCTGAAGTCCCAGGTCCAGAGCTTTTCGAGCAGGGACATGACGCTGCAGGTGGAAAATGCCACATTGGGCCTCCTGTGCCAGGTCCCAGTTAAAGAGCAGGTGCGCTAAAAATAGCCTCAGCGGCGGTTGTAAGGTGTCCATGCAGCACACACGAATTGTGTGTGTAGACTTGGGTCCCCTCCCCAGTACATGCAAATATTCCTAGATCCAAAAAAATCTCACCCCCCGCCAAGCATTGCCGGTGCCAGGGTTTTGCATGAGGGACACTCAGCCTGTTCATGAATGGAATCCTGTCTTACTGAATTATCGCTGATTTGGGAGGGATTTTGCCCTCCCTGAACTCCCGCCAGCCGGCTCTAGGACACCGCCCCCTAGCGGCAGGAGCTTTTCTTACAGAAGACAAAGCAGCATTCCAGTACCACCAGCGCCCCATGGTGGCTCTAAAACGTTCACAGCCTCCAGTGCCTACAACCATCTCGTGAAGCCTGTGTTTGGCAGTGATTAGGGAAGAAGTTGGTTTTAAGACAAAGATCAGGTCCCTGAACAGTGTCTTCCCTACCCTTGGGGCCCCGGATGGACACAGACAGGGACCCAGGCTCCAGGAAGGTGGCTGTGTCCTGGGAGCCCAGGTCGGTGCCTGGACCTGCCTGCGTGGCTGTGTGGCCTCGGAGCTGCTCAGCCTCTCTGAGCTGCTGTTTCTCTGTGGGTTAAGTGGGGGCGGTTGAGGGGATAAGAGAAAGCTCTCGTGAGGTGTCGTTTGTCCAGGCACCTGGCCATAGCCGGCCCTGGGCTGTTGCTGACACCCCAAGTCAGGTCAGGGGACCCTTTGCCTCTCTACCTGCCTCACTGGTCTCAGAATCAGATGCATGCATCCCCCTGGGCAATGGGGAGGGGCCCGGCAGGTGGGACGCAGGATGCCGGGTCAGGAGGAGAGCTCTCCTGGCCATCCTTCCCCCGTGGGCTCCTACGCACACGCGCACACACACACACACACACCCCGCCGCCGGCCCCACTCACTTGTGCAGCCCGTACTTGACCCGGCCGAGGAGCATCACGGCCCTCTCGCCGCTGACGTCCGGATAGCCGGCGCGCTGGAAGGCCGTCTGGACCACCTTGGCCGTCTCTTGGTTCACTGGAAGGCAGGGCAGCCCTGGCCATGGCTCCGCCTCTCTGTGGTGTGTCCGCAAAGCCTCACTCTGGGTGTGAGGGAGACTCGGAGGGCACTGAGCTCTGGCACTCCTGGCACAAACATAGCCCAGGCCTCTCTTCCAACAGAAACTGGTATGCACCAACCCCAGCCTCCCCCAGACCACGCAGTGAACCCCAGTACGACCCAAGCCTGGAGCCCTGGGCCTCTGCTCTAGACCCCTGGGCCCCTGTGTTGAGCACAACCAGGAGACCTGGAGAGCCCAGGCGAGCTGCGACCACAGACACACAGCACTTGGGGACAGACCCTCCCGGCCTGGTCTCAGCCCGTGCCTGACTCTGGCCAAAGAATGACCCCTGCACACCAAACACACGCTAACCTCCTGACCTTTGCCCCCTATCTTGACCCCAACCCTGGCTGTGCTCTGAACTTTAACTCAAACCCCAGATTGACCCTGGGTCCCAAGCAAACACATGCCCCCCACCTTACACACAGAGCCACTTGGCCGTTTGCAGCCCAGCCAGGCCCTTCTCAGCAAAGAGCTTGACCTTGAAGGGGAGTCAGGAGGGGTGACAGCCCTGCTCCGCCCATCTCCCTGCCACACACTCCTCTCTCCGGGCTAAAGCTGGCAGTCCCGCTTCAGGGCTGGCTGCCAGACAGGCTGGCTCCTTGGAAAGAGCCGTGGCCAGACACCCGGAGGCAAGGGCAGACATGGACCCCGTACTCACACACCAAGAGGGCGGGCTTGGTGATGCGACACACGATGCCAGCCTCGTAGGAGGCGCCTTTGGGACAGGCAAGGGCGCCGCCCAGCAAGGCCAGGCTCAGGAGCGTGGCGGCAAACATCGCTCACAGACAGCAGCAGCAGCGAGTGGCCCCGGCTGCCCGACCTGGGCTCCTGTATGTCCTCCCCACCCCCACGGGACATGAGGCACTTCCGCTGCAGGGTCTTCCTGGCTCCGGGGGTTCGCCTGCTTCCCGCCCAGCCCCTCCAGCCTGCCCTGGGGTCCAGGGCAGGGCATTCGCCAGAGCACCCCACTTCCGCCCGCCCTGTTTGACCGTCTCTCACATTCTCCTGATAACTGCTTCGTTAATCCTCTTTCTTGAATTTGCTCCCTTTTTTTCCTTTTCCTGTAAATAAAGGTGTCTAAGAATAAACTTTATCTCCAATTTGCAGTAAATAGGAAGAGGCCATGATACAACAGCCGTAAAGTAAGGACATTCCCTTCTGCGGCGCTGCCCGACAGTGACCCGAGGGCCTGCGGCTGTGCACGAACTAGAACTCAATTAGGAAAAGGGGGGAGGCTTTGGTGGGCTTTCAAGAGCCCCGATATCCTGTCCAAGGCATTCTGTGGAGATTCTCGCCCACTTCCCTCCCTGGGAGTCTCCACCCGCCTTGTCCACCCAAGCCTCCCCTGGGGGCACATCCCAGGCTCCTGTGCCAGCGCCCCTGCAAATTTGTTTTTTTTAAAAAGATTTATTTAGGCTGGTGCCACGGCTCACTAGGCTAATCCTCCGCCTGCAGCGCCGGTACTCCAGGTTCTAGTCCCGGTTGGGGTGCCGGTTCTGTCCTGGTTGCTCCTCTTCCAGTCCAGCTCTCTGCTGTGGCCCAGGAGGGAAGTGGAGGATGGCCCAAGTGCTTGGGCCCTGTACCCTCATGGGAGACCAGGAGGCAGCACCTGGCTCCTGGCTTTGGATCAGCGCAGCTCACCGGCCGTGGCAGCCATTTGGGGGGTGAACCAACAGAAAGAAGACCTTTCCCTCTGTCTCTCTCTCTCTCACTAACTCTGCCTGTCCAAAAAAAAAAAAAAAAAAAAAAGATTAAAAAATTTACTTATTTATTTGAAAGGCAGAGTTACGCAGAGAGAGGAGAGGTGGAAAGAGAGAGGTCTTCCATCTGCTGGTTCACTCCCAAATCCGCCACAATGGCCAGAGCTGCACCGATCCAAAGCCAGGAGCCAGGAGCTTCTTCCAGGTCTTCCCACATGGGTGCAGGGACCCAAGGACTTGGGCCTTCTTCCACTGCTTTCCCAGGCCATAGCAGGAGCTGGATTGGAAGTGGAGCAGCAGGGATTTGAACTGGTGCCTATACTGGATGCCAGCACTGCAGGCTGCGGCTTTACCCGCTATTCCAAAGTACCAACCCTGCAAGTTTTCTTAATTGTTACAGTTGCCAGGAGCCGGAATTTCCTGGGTGCCTGGACCATTCTGCCAGCTTGGGAGCTGGTGACAGGTGCACACCAAAGGAGGAGACAGACTCACCGGGCATGTCATAGGGGCCCCAGGGGCACTTGGAGGGCTTAACGTGCCTCCTTAAACCCAATCCCAAGTGCACACAGAGAGACAGGAGCTGGGTTGGCTATGAGCATGACTCCCAGGCTAATCCAATGCCTACTGGCACTGGCATCTCATATGAATTCCGGTTTCAGTCCCATCTGCTCCACTTCTGATACAGCTCTCTGCTATTGCAGTAGAAGATGGCCAAGTCCTTGGGCCCCTGCACCCACGTGGGAAGACCTGGAGGAAGCTCCTGGCTCCAGGCTTTGGATTGGTACAGCTCCGGCCGTTCTGGCCAATTGGGGAGTGAACCGGAGGATGGAAGACCTCTCTCTCTCTCTCTCTCTCTCCCTCTCTCTCTCCTCTCTCTCTCTGCTTCTCAAATAAATAAAAATAAATATATTTTTTAAAAGGCGCACCTGCACAGTGATGCATATTGCCCATCTAAGGCTGACCTCTGCGGCATGGGGCTGGGCAAGTCTTTGGTTCCCCATCACATTCACTCAATCCATGGATACTTAACCAAGCACCTACCAAGCGCCAGGCTGCCCCTCCTCTCCTGGGCCCAGTGCCGGGGCTCATTTGCAATGATCTCACCCCCTTCCTCCCAGGACCAGCAGTCTGGTTTGTGTTGCTATAGCAACACCAAAGCGGAATCCTTTGTCAAGAGGTTGATTTGTCTCATGACTCTGGTGGCTCCTGGCTGGGTCACAGCGTGGCAGAGAGACAGGGAACTGGCCACGTGCAGCAGGGACCAAGCCCATGGAGTGACCGTGCTTCATAACAGCCAGCTCTTGAGAGAACTCATTCCCGAAACCGGTATCAATCCTTCCCAAGGCCACTGCCCGCAACCCAATGACCTTGGCCTTGACCCCAGTCAAAGTTTCCACCACCACGCTGGGGACCAAGTTTCCAGCACGGGACCCCTTCCCACTTCCCAACCATAGAACCCACTGTTCATTGAGCTCTGGCTAGGACTCTTCCAGGCCATCAGCACCCCAGGCCAGACTCATGGCTGTGCGTTGTATGCTCGCATTATAGGTGCTTCGTAGCACGTAGTAGTTGCATGGCAGATACTTGCTGGATGGAGTAGGTAATGCCAGGCACTGTGTCAAGCTCTTCTCATGACCTCCCCCTAAGCAGCTACTGCCTCTGATCTCTGCTTCTCAGCAAGGGGTCTGGGCTGAGATGAGCCACTCTCTGAGATGAGCAGCTATCTCTGGGTGACACAGGTGATGGGCATCAGGGCCAGCCTTAAACTCTGCAGTGACCTATATGGCATTATAAATAGCAGCCCCAGCCCTCTTTTCCGAAGAGCAGCCCATCAGACCAGAAGGATTACAAACATGGCGTTAGCACTAAAGACAGGAGTCGCACAGCTGTCCTATCCTTCGCCCTGGCTGTGGCCCTGGCAAGCGCCCAGCGGCCATCCACAGTCACATTCCCTTTAGCACAGGATTTCACAGGTCCCTGAACCCAGGCAGAGTGGGCTGGGGCCCTGGGCTGGGAGTCAGCTAGGGTGGGCCCTCGCTGGTCACACGCTCTCTCGGAGTCTGTTTCCCCCTGTTGACCCCTGCCCTCTGCATCCACAGAGAGGAAGGGGGTGGACCCATAAAGACTCCTATATACGCATACAGACTTTGCTGAATGTGCACAAAACAGCTCTGGGTGCCCACCAAGCCTTGGAGGACCTTGGCAGCCTCCTGGAGGACCTGGGGCTCTGGGGAAAGGGCCGGGGCCTTCTGTGGCTTTGGAATGCTGAGTCGTGGGCTGTGTGATCTTTCCCAAAGGTACAGCATAGAGAAGGTTATCCACCACTGGAGTCCCAGTGCCTCTGCGGCAGCCGTGAGCAAATGGCCAACGAGCCCCTGGGGAGGGAGGCAGGGCGCAGGAGTGCAGCAGGAGGCAGGTGGGGTGGGCTCCCTGAGCCCTCTCTCCGAGTGACCCCAGCCCTGGGCTTGTTCCTGCTCGGAGCCCAAAATGGCTCCTGGGCCCCCAGTCCCAAGGGTTCAGACCCACAGTCACCACGGGCGCCCCTCGGCTGCATGAGCTCCTGCCCACCGGCCTCGCCAGGGAGCAGGCTGCAGGAGAGCCACTTAGCCCTGGCCGGCCCGGCGCCCCCAGCTGCCTGGAGAGTTTTGCTGACTATGCAGAAAACACCTCTGCGGGTTCACGGGGACTTCCTGCTGGCCATTGTCCTGCTGGTCATTGTTTGTGTTCCTTTCATGGGGCTTGGAGGGCAGTGACCGAGGGTGCCCCTGGCTAGGGTACTAGCGGTCACCGGTCACCACTGTGCAGAGGGGAGGGAGGCAGGCCCTGGCTCCTGGGGCAGCCCGGGAGCCAGCACCTGGCACCTGAGGTGGGAGAGGCCTGAGGGAGATTGAATTGAAAAATCAGCAAAGCAATCAAACCCAAAGCCCAAGCCAGAAGAGCTCATTAGCACCCTGTGTCATGGACTCTTACAAACTTCATCATCGTCATCATTTTCAAAAGAATTCTCTCCTTTAGCCCTTTTCCTTTTGGTGGAATTAAAGTTACCACTTCATTTAAAATTCACCATTCACTGTGGTGCAGTGAGTTAATGCCCTGGCCTGAAGCGCCAGCATCCCATATAGGCACCCGTTTGAGACCTGGCTGCTCCCGTCCAGCTCTCTGCTATGGCCTGGGGAAGCAGTAGAAGATGGCCCAAGTCCTTGAGTCCCTGCACCTGCATGGGAGACCTGGAAGAAGCTCCTGGCTTCAGATCAGCGCAGCTCTGGCCATTGTAGCCAACTGGGGAGTAAACCAGTGGATGGAAACCTATCTCTCTCTCTTTCTCTCTCTCTCTGCCTCTCCTTCTCTCTATATATAACTCTGGCTTTCAAATAAATAAATAAATCTTTAAAAAAAAATTCACCATTTTAAAGCGTGTGACTCGGTGGTGTTTAGTACATTCAGGATGTTGTGCAACCATCCACCTAGTTCCAGAACATTCCTGCCACCTTGAAAAGAAACCCTGGACCCAATACCACTTGATCCCTTCCCACCTTCCCACGCCCCAGCCCCGTGCCTCACTGCCTGTCAGCTTCCTGTCTTGAGGATTCTGGTTTCTGGGCCTCTCACACCGGTGGAGTCAGGTGAAGCATGGGCTTCCGTGCCTGGCTTCTTGCACCAGCTCCGTTCCTTTGCCGGGCTGAATAATTTTCCACGGAGCGGCGGCGTCCGCCTCTTGGGCTCCTTCCTCCATCCGTGGTCCCTGTCTCATTTCATCTGCACCCTCCCTGTACCGGCACAGCCCCTGCTTCTCAGACCAAACAGAGAGGCAGCACCTTCCAGGTCACACACCGAGGCACAGCCAGGACTTGAACTCCACGTTGGCAGTTCTGTGCCTCGATCCCAGCCTCCGAGGGTAACAAAGTCGGAGGACAAGGACCTTGGAACACAGCAGCCCCTCTGTCACATGGGAGACGTGGCGCCCTGGTAAGGGAAGGGACAGGGCTGGGCCACAGGATAACCTGGCACACACCCCCTCCTCCACATCGCTTTATTTAATGAACTAATTAATTAACTTGAGAGGCGGGGGAGGGGAGGGCACTGTCATCCACTGCTTCACTCCCCTAATGCCAGCGACGGCTGAAGCCTGGAGCTAG